GTGCGGCTGGAGGAGACGGGGGAGATATTCCGCGTGGCAAATTGCCGCGGCGACATGACAGTGCGGGAGCTCAAAGAGGAACTGGACCTGATGGTCGGCATCCCCTTCAACCTCCAGCGGCTCCAATACCTCGACGAAGGTGGCTCCTGCCCTGACCCCTTCCCTGGCCACATGTAAGGGCACCCTGGCCACTTCTGAAGCTGGATTCCCAAAGGGAAGCTTGCTTACGTGAGAAACCCCAGATGGCAAAGGAAACCCCTGAAACCCAGCCACCCTGAAACCCAGATGGAAGGGCCACTTGGGGTCCTGGCCGCAGAGGGACTTCCCAATCTCAAACACACGGGATTCAAATTGGACTCCCAATCAAGGCAAACCTTGTCCACATGACCCGAATCCACAAGCAGGTCCTGCCTGGATTGGGCTGCATCTGCCAACCCTGAGCAAATCGTGTCCAAGCCAGGACCCCCCAGAAGCCAGACCCTCAGGCTCCCTATGTCTTCATAAGGAACACAGGTCCCAAAGCCAGTAAGACTTGTCTGAAACAAAACCTGTCCTCAGCAGGACCCCCAAACCCAGGGCAAGCCTGCCCATGTCAGTACCCCACACTCAAAGCAAACCTCAAGTCCTCCGCCATGCTGGTCTTGAGAACATCAGAACCCCAAATGCTCTAGCCAACCATGTCCACGCAAGCATGCCAAACCTGAAACAAACCCTGCTGACCTCAGGACCCACCAACCCAGAACGAAATTGCCTAACACCAGACCCCAAATCTCCAGGCTAACCGTGACTACCTCAGAACCCCAGATCCTCCAGCTACCACATCCACCCCAGGATGCCAGGGCTTGAACAAACCTTAACCACTTCAGGACCCCAAAATCCAAAGCAACCATGCCCAACTGAACCCCAAATCTCCAGGCTACCCATGACTACCTCAGAACCCCAGATTTTCCAGCCACTTTTGTCTTGCAAGGACGCCAAATCAAAACAAACCCTGTCCATCTCAGGACCCCAAAATCAAACCAGCCCAAGACTGAACCCCTAATCTCCAGGCTAACCATAACTCAGAACTCCAGATCCTCCAACAACCGTGTCCAGGCAAAGAGGTCAAAGCTGAGCTCACCATGACCATACCAGAACCCAAATCCCCTCAAAGTGTCTTCATGAGGGCTCCAAAGAATAAAACAAACTCTGTCCACAACAGGATCCCAAAGCTAAAGTCAAACCCACCCACATCTGAATTCACCCCCAGACATGAAACCACGTCTACATCAGCACTCCAAGGTTGAAGCCGGCCATGTCCATATCAGGAAGTCAAGGTTCAAACCAAACCTTGCCTCCATGAGTACCCCAAAACTCAAAGCAAACTTTTCTTGTATGTGTAACCCAAATCCTTCAGCCAACCTTATTTATACCAGAACCCCAAATTCCAGACCAAACACTTCATATAGCAGGAGCCCAAATTTTGGAGCAGATTTTATCACCATGAAGACCCCCAAATCTCAGGGTAGATGTGCTCTATTCCTACCCTCCAAATGCTACACTACTCGGGGCTACATCAGATCCCCACATCCCAAAACAAGTCCTGCCCATATGAGGACTCCGAATCCCAGAACAGACTTTTTCACATCAGGACCCCCAAACAGACAGCAAACCTTACTTTAATCAGAGCCCAAATCTAGGGTCAACTGCCCTCACAGGAACGTGAGTCTCAAAGCAAATGCTGCTATCCACGTTTGAACCTGAATACTGGAACTAACCTAGTACATATCAGAACCCCAAATGCCAAGCCGTGTCCTTGTTCACGTTGGGAGCTCAAAGCTAGCCCAGCCGGAATCAGAACCCAGAACCGAAAGTTCCCTGTGACTGAATTAGGACCCCAAGGGCCCCGCTCCAGACAAGTTTCATGTGGTAGATACCCAGCGGAGGCCAGGCACCCTAGAGCCCATCTCTCTTTCCATCAGTCTCCTTCCCTGACCTGAAGGCGTGGCTTTCCCTATCCCGATTCCCTACAATATTTAGGATATGAGAACAGGATCAAAGTCCCTGGCTCCATCATCTCCCCACCTGGTTGAAATCAACACAACACACTTCAGGAAAATGAAGATATAGAAAAAATCTCTGAGCTGCTGCACAGAGAATGTGAACAGCTGATATTGCAGAGAGACTGCAGCTGTACTGCAGGGGCTGGGGAACGATGGAGACAGACAGATCTGAAAGCAGTCTGCCTCCACGGGCTTGGTGCTGCCAGACACTGCCCTTCTGGGCTCAGTTTCCTAATCTATAACACAGAGCCACCAGCTCTAGAATTCTCAAGAGCTGTTTCCCCCTATGGACAGAAATGACTCAGGAAACTCAAAATGCACAGTGAAGGCTAAAATACCTTCCTTTGCTCTCTTTAAAATAGGTTAAGCATTTTTCATGACATATTATTTTCCTATAGGAGTATTTGGAAGATGTTCTTGGGCATTTTTGAGGTCTTATTTGGAAAGAAATGTGTTTCCAGCCTAGTCTGTATTTAACATATTAAAAGTGAGGAGAGTTGTTGAAGGACTTAGTAAGAGTTCCCAAACAAGTAATTTGAAAATTATGTATCCTCAACTACAAATGCCTGGCACCCCTTCTGTTCATTTATTTTCGCTGATGAGCTGTGCTGAGCTATTAATTCAAGAAAGCTAAGAGGGAGCGAGAGAGAGGGGGTGACTTAACACTGATGTCACAGTGCTATCACTCAACAGGCACTTAGCAACTGTTAGAAGCTCGACCTCTCTCTGCCGTTGCAGTCCTTGCCGTGGGTGGTAAACAAGAAAGACAGAAAGTGCTACTCATTATTAGAAGAAATTTGGGCTACTGCCTATAAATAATCCTCTGAGGCCTCTCCTACCCACCTCAAAATTTGGGGCGGGGGGAGATCAAATGAGATCATGTGTGAAAACCTTGAGATACACAAATCTAAAAGGGGTGAGCACATCCATGGGCCAGGGTTGCCCTTACACGTCTGTCGTCAACTTTGATAATTTATTTAGCTGGTGATAATTAGAATTTGTCTAAGTCCAAGGCAGTGGCTGCCTGTTTATAAAAAGAGGATGTACTCCGATCTCTATAGGGGTTGCTCAGCATGTGGGAGTTGTACTCTTGCACGTCTCAGCAAAACACAGCTTTACTCAATATTTTCAAAGTTGTAGGGAGTCAAGTTGTCTTACTTAGACTAATTACCGGTTATCCTCTGTGTCTGAACCACAAATAGGACACTAATGAACAGATTTGCTGATCACTATTGCCTGTTGACATCTACCATCCTGGGTATCTGGTAGCAAATTGGTGCTCATAGAGCCAAAAGTGGGAAGCCAGTGGCCCCGGAGGGAGTCAGCACTGGGGTGGCTGTTTACTTAAAGGCTGTGTGAGCCTCCGTTTGCTCATCAGCAGATGGACATATCAAACCTACCTTGGAGAGCTGTCCTAAGGATGAAAGAATATAGGTACTCAGTCTGGGCACCAAGTAATCACTAAGTACCTAGTATACAAGCACAAAGCAGTCAATCATGAAACCAGAAAACTCATGAATCCCACTGACTTGGAATGTAGACCGTCTCACCTGGGCAGAGCTGGGACTCGATGTTGATGGCATTGCTTATAAAGAAAGCATGAGGCCAAAGGAGCTCTGGTACTCCAAGTCCAAATTGGGGTGGATGTCAGCATTAGCTCCTTACATCGCATCAGCTCTCAGCTGGGGAGATTTTGTCCCCCAGAGTCCATTTGGCAATATCTGGAGACCTTTTTTTTTTTTTTTTTTTTTTTTTTTTTTTTTTGAGACAGGGTTTCACTCTATTGCCCAGGCTGGAATGCAGTGGTGCAATCTTGGCTCACTGCAACTCTGCTCAGGTGATCCTCCCACCTCAGCCTCCTAAGTAGCTGGGACCACAGGTGCGAGCCATCAGGCCCAGAAAAGGTTTGTATTTTTTGTAGAGATGGGTTTTTGCCATGTTGCCCAGGCTGCTCTCGAACTCCTGGGCTCAGGCGATCTGCCCACCTCGGCATCCCAAAGTACTGAGATGACAGGTGCGAGCCACTGTACCGAGCCTGGAGATATTTTTGATTGCCTTGATTTGGTGAACATGCTGCTAGCATCTAGTGAGTAGAGGCCGGGAAGCTGTGAACCCCTGACAATGAGGAGGGGCCCCTACCACAAGGAGTTACCCAGTCTAAACTGTCAGCAGTGCCAAGGCGGAAAAATCCCTCCCAGGCTTCAATTTGAAAGATCCAACAATTTTTTGTCATTGTCACCTCTTTAGCCAAGTAATGACATTATCCAAGAGAGTATTTTGGTTTACCCTATATGACTTGTTTAACCACATTGTGCCGTGTGTCTAATGACTGGTTACTTCAAGTTTAAGTCATTCTATTTGTAGAGTTTGCCTCATAAAATGATTTTACTGACTCATGTGCCTTTTCACAATAGGACAAGTTATAATTACAGAATTTTATAAATCGTTGGCATTGTGATTTTGTTCGGCTTCCATCTGAGCTGAACCAAATTAATTTTCTAAAAAGCATTACCAACAACAGACAGACCCACGCGGCACCATCAAATGAGATTCGTATTCGATATTTCTCAAATTATCTTTGTGGCACTCAAGGTCAGATAATCTCTTAACTTAACCAATGTAGGAGTTTATCTTTAATACGCAATTTTTTAAAAGAAAAAACATGATTCCCTGCAGGAGTTTTGATGGATGACACTACCCTGAAGTTCCATGATGTTGTTCCTGGAGGGATTATTTCATTATGTATCTGGCGTCATGACGGATGGACAGAACTTGTTTTGGCGGCTGCGGAAGGGGATCCCAGCAAGGTGTTTTCATGCTTCTTTAAATGGATCTTATACGTTACGAAGCAACCGTAAATTGTGGGGGAAATATTAGTCTTTAATATGGATATCTGAGTAACAGTTTCAGAGCAGGGAAGAGAGAACGATGAGCCGTGTCATAATTACAAAATACTGCACCGAGGGTTTGCCTTCACTCCTTGGGTTTACCATTTTGCTGGGTTTATCAATTTGTGATTTATAACCCACTTACTGCCCTGCCCCGCCCCGCCCCACAAAGGAGTCGAGGCAGCACGTTTCTATTCATGTGTATGAGTGATAAGGTCGGAAATCTAATTTAACACTGAGAGGAGAACTCCAGATAACTGGGAAATGCACAGCTCAGAGCTCGGGGCTGTGGTACAGGCCTCCGCCAGGTGCTGCCTGGTTCCGGGGCGGCGGGAGGTCCCTTGTTCCTGGGGCGAGCGGTGGGCGCTCTGTCCTCCAGGGCTCCTGCTGGCCTCTCAGCTGGGCTCTAGGGGTGGGCAGTGGGGGGCAGGAGGACAGAAACCAGATGTATACCCAACAGGGAATATGAATCGCTGCGACACGAGGGGCAATGCTCTATTCTTTCTAGAAAAGAAATTCGGATGGAAAGCTATATGCTCCTGGAGAAGAGGAGACAGAGTTTCTTTGCCGAGAAAGGGGTCAGGGAAGGCTGGGTGTAGCAGGGGCTGGGATTGGCATTCTCGGAAGAGTGGGTGGGCTCGGGGCAGGTGCAGCAGGAGGCAGCCTTGGCAGGGAGGGTGGGCAGGAAGGGGCACCCAGGCCTGACACACCTCCTCCCAATCCCTCCCGCTTCTCCTCTGCACGCTCCTCTGCCCCTTCTGTCTCCCTCCCCTTTGTCACCAGCAGTGTGGTCCATGCTTGGTTTTCTGACTCTTGCTCTGGCTGCAGGGGTCACCTCCCTGCTGTCTGAGGTTGTCAGAATTGCCATCATCCTCATCTCGATTCTGCTCCTCCCACCGCCCCAGTCCTGACTCCCACATCAGGGCAGAGTATCCTGGCTGGGGGGAACCCGTAGTCTTCCTCCCAGGCTCAAAGACTTAATTCACCACGAGCCGGTTACATGACTGGACTGTTCACCTGTGCGTGTTCAGCTTGCTCTGAAACCTAACGGAGACAGTGGGCACACAAATAGATGGGAAGGCCAGAGCTGGTCTCCAAGAGATGCCTGTCACCCTCTGGGAGGCCATTTGTATTGGCTGTTTTCTTCCTCAGTGGCTTCAACCATCTTCCTGTGGACACCCGGCAAAGCCATTTTCTCTCTTCAAAACATCGACAGGAAGACCTTCCTGCGTTCCGAGCCTGACTGATGGCGAATTCGTATTTCCTGAACATATATAAGGCGTTAAATTATGGCCTCCCCACCCTATCCTGGGTGTTTCTCAGCTTTTCTTGGAGGTTTTGCACCTCTCTTTTCCCATGATGAGCCTGAGTTTGGCATTCAAGCAGGCCTTCCCCTGAGCATGCCCCATCAGCCATCCAACAGAATGTAGCCACGCTTTTGAGAATAACTCAAACTCCTCTTATCTTGCCCAGCTATCCTGTCTCGGGGTTACTGAAGATTCCTTCTACCGAACTGCCAATTCAGAACATTTTGAGGGTGAGAAGTGGAAGCAGTGGACGTCTCAGAGGGCATTTGTGGCGTTGTATGTGGCCTCACACAGAGGTCACTCTGATGCTGTGCAGTACCTTCTAGAACACGGTAATTCTGGTAGAAAGCTTCCTATATTCATGAGTTGGGATTTTTTGCAGGTAGAAAGGACAGAGTGTCTTGTGTTCCAGGTCCTTCCAGCAGTGGTTTCCTGGACCTGTGTCTTGTCAGCCACCAATCAGGGTCCCCATGGGACCACTCGCTCCCTGTCTAGGCAAGTGTCTTAGGGTACGCCAGTCAGAGGCTGCCCTCCTTCTCTTCACCAGGTCTCAAGAAGATTCTTTCTGGTTCAGTGAGGCAGAAATTTCAGGACCCAAGACACAGGGAGCAGCTACAAAGGATTCCTGGTTCGTTTCCAACCAGACATATTGCTGGGAATATTCCCATGCTGTCTGCGTGATTTCCAGCCTCGCATGAAATTAGGATGCTGCAACGGTCCAAAATGGTCTAACCTCTGGCCAGGCACGGTGGCTCACACCTGTAATCTCAGCATTTTGGAAGGCCAAGGTAGGCAGATCACATGAGGTCAGGAGTTCATAGCCAGCCTGGCCAACATGGCGAAACCCATCTCTGCTAAAAATACAAAAATTAGATGGGTGTGGTGGCATGTACCTGTAGTCCCAGCTACTGGGGAGGCTGAGACAGGAGAATACAACAAAAACACACACACCAAAAAAAAAACAAAAAACAAAAAAAACAAAACTAGAAAAAAAACCTAAAATAATCTACCCTCCAGCCAGCACAGCTCTGTGGTGGATGGCAGGATCACCACTCTTCCTTCTCCAAGCCTCGTTATTATTTTCTCACAAGACATTCATGCTGAACTCTCTTTTCACCCCACCTCCACTTAAGGGCCTCCTTCCTCTCTCTCTCTCTCTCTCTCTCTGGCTCTCTTGATAGATAGAAACAGAAGCCTAAGACAACATTGTCTTCAAATTAAAGAGCTTTACACAACATTCCATAGGTGTACACTCTATCCTCCCTGGATGTGGGATATTTTTGGGAAAAGATGCCCACTGATGGAGATGCAGACCACTCAAGAACAATGGAGAACAGCTGTAACAGCTCAGACCACCAGCTTCCTTGGAAAAAGGGAGAACATGTTATGTGGTGTTTGGTCAATGGTTTGGGCTCAGGAGGGGCCTTTCCCAAGGGTCTCCCGTATCAGCTTGCCTCCAAATTAGACAACAGCTTCTTTCCTACCCACAGCCTTGGCTCCAGCCTCTCAGCTCAGTCATTGCTATTTTTCCCACTTACACCGAGCAAGGTGGAAAACATCTTGGATTTCCTGGGCCGGATGATTGGGCCGTGCATTGGGGGTATAAACCTCTGTGATGGGTAAAGGTTACCTAAACAATATTCTCCTTCCTTCTTTCACTGCCTGTCTGCTCTTTGCTTGTTGTAAAATGAAATATGAGCTTTGCACAGCCCAGCAGTCCCTTAAGCTCATAAAAAGTCATTTTCACTCTGATGGAACTGTGATGTATTTGAAGGCACCAGTTAAAAAATTACAGCCAGCTTTGCGAAGTTTTCTGTCCTCTGCAGACAGCTGCTGGGGGGAGGTGTCATGGTCGACACTGGTGTTCTAAGAGCCTATTTAAAACTTTACCTCACCAACCAGCCGGAGCTCATAAAAACTGGCTACCGAAATGTCAGCTGAATTTAATTGAATTGCCTTGTTTTCTGTGTCATGATATTTGTTATCCAGAATTTGATTCAATTCAACAATTCCATATTGGACACCTGTCATTAGCCCATCCATCTGCAGGAGGCAGTGAGGAATTTAATCGAAGTGAAATCTGTCCATGAGTCAGGCTGCCCATTGCGTCATTTCCCGAGTGCCTGTCTTCTGCAGGCACTGAGCTACGTGCTCGGGATGACAACAGCAACGAGCCAGATGTGTGTGTTTTCTGCCCTCCTGGAGTTTATGAGGGGAAATCAGTAGATTATTACAGATAATTCCATAGTCAATGGTGTACACAGTGTTGTGAAGATGTAGAGTGTCTATTGAGCTTATACAGGAGATTTCACGGGGTGGGAGAACTAAGGAAGATTTTCCCAAGGAAAGAAATGAAACCTAAAGGAAGGTCAGAGTTAGCTCAGAATAAAATGAGAATGTTGTGAACGGGCCTGGGGCAGGAGGCAGAGCAGGGTGTATTTAAGGGATGAAGGTGGAAGGTAGGTATAATTGGTGCCTTGGTGGTGGGGTTGGGGAGGAGAGTATGGCAGGAGGGAATGCTGGAATAGTAATGGGAAGGTATGGTGAGAGTGAGCGGGAAAGACCTAGAACATCAACCCACAGGTGGCGGGATGGCAGTGATGGATCTGAGCAGGAGTTTGATATGGGCATTCTGGAAAAATCACTGGTTACTGCCAGGGGAACATACTGGAGGCAGGGCAGTGCTGGAGCTGGGCCAGGCAGCAGGACCTCCCTGGGGAGCACTCCCTTCACAGCCCTGGACCCCTCCTGTGTTCCCCTTCCGCATGTCTTCCTTCTGGCCAATGTTCTTATTTTACAGGAGCCAGCTGCCTCAGCAGATCCCCCCTGGGCAGGACACCCCTGCATGTGGCTGCAGCAACGGGTCGGTCAGACTGTATAAGCCTTCTGCTCCAGCACGGGGCCTCCATCCATGACAAAGATGCCAAAGGGGAGACCCCCATCTCCATTGCACACCGCCTGAACCACATACAGAGTGAGCGGCAGATGTTCCTCCTCCACCAGATAGCGAAGTCAGGGATACGGGATCTTAACGACTTGGTCATGAAGAATGCTTTGCAGAGGATCAAGTCTGGGTTTAGGTCTAAGGTGACGATGATGACCCCTCATTAGCTCCCAGTGGGAACGCTTGCCTGTTGAAGCTGGTTTGGGCAACTTTGCAGAGTTCAATCCCATGGGGGTCCTTGGTGAGCAGGCAGGAAAACAGGGCAATTAACCTGAATCAGATATGAAATTATCTGTCCTGTTTGCAAATGATTTCGGGAGGGTGTTGATGGCAGGAGGTAAGTTTGTGCTCATTTGGTAATCCATTACAGACTGAACAGGCTCTGATGCCAGCCTTTAATTTTAAGCTATTTGTACATTGTACCCAATAGCGCTGCTTAGGGTGATGGGAGCCAATTACCTTCTCTCCCTTCTGGGGACTGTCTAATGCACTGGCATAATAGGAGTAATAACAATAATGATAATAGCACTATTGTTATTGTACAAAACAAGTGCCAGCAAATGTCAGGAGGTCGTGTGTGGTGTGGGCTGTGAATTTCAGTCTGTAAAGCTGTGGAACTAAATGCTCCCACAGTTAATGTTCCAGGTTTCCTGAGCCATCTTTGAGGGGTCTGCTTCTTGAGTCAGGGGCAGAAGGGAAGCTGGGTGAGCTTGGCTCTCCAAACACATTCTCCAGAAGGGATGCCTTATTACTTTTGTTGAAAGGTAACACATTGGCACTAGGTGGGGAGGAAACAGTGTAAAAGAAGATGAGAATCAGGCTGGCCACATCTTCTCCTTTGTCTCATCCCCAGGGGTCCATGCAATCTCCTCTTGCTAGTGTTCTTCTTTTCCTACCAGCACTGGGATAGCCCTTCCTTCTTTCCTTTGAGCAAACCACCTTGGAGTGTCTATCTCAACTCTCAGGTCTCTGCATTACAAAACCTTATATCACACTGCAGGATGTGCTTGGTGTTCCCACAGGGTCCCAGCCTGCCAAGTGCATGAGTGAGCTGGGCGTGGGAAACAAGAAGGAAAGATAAGGATGGGGCCAGCTGTCTGAAGAGGGCACTGAGACTCCATTCCTGCGGAGATGAAAGGCAGAGGCTGCTAGATCTTTCTAGAGCTCCAGACCTGGAAATCTGGCTTTTTGAAAGGATCTCTCTTGACTTTTTTTTTTGAGACAGAGTCTTGCTCTATTGCCCAGGCTGGAGTGCAGTGGTGCCATCTCGGCTTACTGCAACCTCCACCTCCCAGGTTCAAGCGATTCTCCTGCCTCAGCCTCCTGAGTAGCTGAGATTGCAGGCACCCGCCACCACGCCTGGCTGATTTTTGTATTTTTAGTAGAGACGGGGTTTCACCATGTTGGCCAGGTTGGTCTCGAACTCCTGACCTCATGATCTGCCCACCTCAGCCTCCCAAAGTGCTGGATTTACAGGCATGAGCCACCGCACCTGGCCAGATCTCTCTTGATTTTTAAAATTTGGCTTGAATTTTTGAAGAATGTGGTCTGCTACAAAAGGAGCGAGAAGATGCGGGGCACACCCATGTGACTGCCTCATTGTCAAACTCCATTTCATGGAGAAATGTGGTAGAATCAATCTAAGTCTCTCTGGAACAATCCAAAACTCTGATGCCACAGTGAGGGAGTAGCCACGGGTCTTGCTGGGTGGCGTATGGGGTCCACTCTCCCACCTTCCACAGACCATTCATGTTTCTCTAAAGCCCTACCTTCTAAGCAACTTTTGGAATGAAAATGTGTGGCAATGGTCTTGTGACCATTGCAGTTTTCCTGGGAATGGGCAATGGCGCTGTATCCTGGCCCCCCTTTCCCACTTCCATCCCAAGAACTGGAGTCAGCTTTTACATTAACTGGCTGCATTTCCTGCTGTCATAGCAAGTAAGATCTGTGTTAATGATGTGGTTTTACACTCAGTGTACGTGGCTGTACCCAGCTCAGCACTCTGTTTGACAAATAATAGCCGAGGAAAAAAATACCTCAGCATCAGCTATGTCAAAACTGAGATCTTGCTCTTGGCAGACGTTCTGCAAAGTCAACAGGCAGATATTAAGCAACCCCAACCCAATGGGGCAATCCATTTAGCTAATGAGGTGTTAGGGGGGTGACGCGGGCACTCTTTTAACTTAACAAGTGGCATCACTCAGAGTCGTGCATTTGCCAGGAGCTCTGCCCAGCCGCCTTCATTGTTTGGAGAACCAACTGCCCGACTTCTATATGTAAAATTCTGGGGGCAGGCACTCTGTCTCCATCTACCTCCAATTCAATTAAACACTTGGCCAGACATTGGGCAGGTCCCAAACTCTTCGTGGTGACATTTTGCTCAGTCTGTGGTAGGGTCATCTGAACACTCATAGGTCCTGGGGAGTGCTCCATCCTGTATCACTTATGAAATAAAATATGTCCAGAGCCATAGAAGGATTGAGTTGCCATTGGGTGAGACGTTACATTTTGTAGATATTTCATTACACATTTATTCTGAAGAGGTTTTTTTTTTTCACATTTTGGGAGACAACAAAGTTTTTTTTGAGTGTGTAGGGGGTCAATCTCAAACATTTTTGTTGGACCCTGGAGGTGGTCTGGCATGGTGGTCAGGCACATCTCTGCTCTGTCAGGCCATGACATCCAGTTCCTTTGCCTCATCTGGCATCCCCAGGTAGGGCTGGGCTTGCAGTCACGAGAGGGGAAGAGCTGCCTGTGCAGAGGTGGGGATAGAGGCTTTGGGGTCAGCACACATCTCGGCTTGCATCTTACTGGTTTCCCTCCAAAGATGACTCTGCGGGGCCTTCAGCTGCCTGCTGGACTCTTGCCACCATCTCCTCACTCAGTCTCAGACCTGGGGCACTCCCTTGCCTGAAGCGTATTCACTAATCCAGGGGTTCCCAGAGAGCAGGGAGGGCATCTCACTGGTGGCACCTCAGGGGACTTCAGGTGGTCCCTGACACTGTATTAAGTGACACTGAAACACTGGGTGGGAAAGGCAATCCCTTTTGACATTGCTGTCGGTCCTTTCCGTATCCACAAGGAGAAAGTTTCCTTTTTATGCTAGTATGGCTTCGACACCACCCTGACCCTCACCAATCTCCCTCTTAAACACACATCAGCAGAGCGCAGTGTTTTGTTAGGTAGCCGTCTTTTGCTGGGATTTAACGGCACTGTCTTGTTTTCAGTGCACTGCAGGCCAGGGTTCTATCCCTTTCTCTCCTCCTTACTAGTTGTGTGACCTTGGACCAAATGGTCACCTCCCAAGAGCCTCAGGGTCTTTATCCGTCACGTGGGCCTCGTCACCAGCATCCCAACCTGGTTTGCATTGGTGAAAGGAGACTGCCAATGTGGATTGTGCCCTCAAGACCCAAGGCCCTGTCAGCGAGACCCCAAGATGCAGTGGGAGGGGCCTGGGCTTGCAGTCTGGCAGATTCGGTTTAGAATTTTCCTCCACCACAAGCTGTGTGGCATCGGGCCAAGCAATGGCACCTCTCAGAGCATCAGTTTTCTCCTCTGTAATACTCAGGTAATAAAACCTGGCCTCTGTCATTGGAGGGATTAAATGTCTGGCACGGAGCAGACGCTTGAAAAATGGTAGCCATTATTATTATTATTATTATTGCTACAACCACTTAATTTGTTTAAAATATTTACTTACTGGGAATCAATACACCGCCCCCCACCAGCCCCCGTCTCCAGATAACCTCATACATTTTCAGCAAACCTTATACAGTAATAGTCTCTGTCCAGAAGTAATAATCCCCAAAGTGGGAGATAAATAAATTCTGTTAAGTTTGCCGATTTGGGTGTGAAGTAGAGGGCTTTCTTAGCTACTTGAAAAAAGTGCGTTCTGAACTTGAAACTCCAGGGCCAGTTCTGCAGGAGAGGAAAACAGCTCTAAGGCAAGAGGAAAATTCCAGTCACTGGGCTCTGCCTCCGCAGTGCCGCACTGATTGCAGATGCTTCCAGCAGAGGGCACAGAAACCCATTAACATTTAGACAAACAATCGTGTTTGTGTTCATTGGAAATGTCAGAAACGCCGCAGTCTGCGCCACTTTGAAAACGGGCCTCACATATGGGCTTTTGTGCCTGAACCCCTGGAATTGTCTGCAAAATGTGCATGCCTGTATACATTTTCTGGGGAGAACCTTCATAGCTCCCATTATATCCTGAAAGGGTCTGTGGACCACCCATTCCCCAAGGTACCAAAACCTGCTCAAATAACAAGGAATTCAACCATAGCAATTGTCAAAGTAATCAAACCGAAACCGACATAGTACAATGTCACGCTTTACCCATTTGATTGGCTTGCATTACCAATTTACAATTGGAAAAATGATAAATACTCCTAACATCTGGGGCTGTGGTGTGTGTGTGTGTGTATGTGTGTGTGCGTGCACGTGTGTGCACCTGGGAAACATGTCCGCACTGCAGAGGGGAGCCTGTCAACTCCCATCTTCCTGCAGGATTGATTGCTATCTGACAATACATATTCAGAATGCCCATGACTTAGCACAGCGGCCTCACTTCTGTAAATCCATCCTACAGAGAGGAAGCCCCTGTACAAAAATGAGACCTGTTCACAAATGTTCGTGACTGCTGTTAATGGTGGCAGAAACCCCTGTACAAAATGAGACCTGTTTGCAAATATTCGTGACTGCTGTTTATGGTGGCAGGTGCCTGGAAACACTCTACATGCCCACAAGGGGGAGGGATGGTGGCTCATTTTGCAGCTACGACAACGTGACTTGATCTGTATGTACAGGCCAGGGGACAGACATGAGGGATATCTGGGATGTGTCATTAAGTGGAAAACAGCAAGTTGCCCAAGAAATGTTATGAGCACGATTTTAAAAAGAGGCAAATCCAGTGTCTATATATGTTTATTTGAGCACAAATAATGATGTCAAAGGTATACCTCCAAACTGTTAGCATTGCTTGCTTCAGGGCAAGAGAACTGTTTTACACAGCCCTGAGTTGTTACAACCGGCAAGTCTCCATTTTTGAGACAGGGTCCCACTCCATCATCTAGGCTGGAGTGCAGTGGTGCAATCACAGCTCATTGCAGCCTCAACCTCCTCGGCTCAAGTGATCCTCCCATCTCAGCCTCTTGAGTAGCTGGGA